AGTACAGGATTTACAAGGTCTCACTACACAGATCAGACTTGTAGTAATTTTTTTTTTAAGTATTTTTTTTAGTGTTGGTTTAACAACAGTTTTTAGGGCAAAAATCATCTAGTATATGAAAACTGAATAGTACATTTTTAGTTACCTGCTTAAAAAATAGCTAAAAGGTATCTCAGGAGGAGATGCCATGTAGTTAAATGAAATGACAGATGCACAGCCACAGCTGACTGGTTCTCAAGTCTGTCCTTCTAGCTAGGCAGGAAAATGCCTCTTGGCAACTGGACTGGGTAAGGGAAGATATGCTGTCCACTGTGAACAGCTCCCAAGGGAAAGTCACTATGGCTCAGTGTGCAGCCAGATGTCAGAGAAGCTGCCCCACTGTATAGCTTGAAAGTAGGAATCATGACATTTTTGTGCTTTTGTTGACTGAGCAACTTTAAATCTCTAAGTCAATTTTGTTACAGGAATTCTTACATAATATGACTCTCAACTTGGGTTGCTTAAAAAGTACTTCAAACTAAACTTCAGCATTATTTAAATATTAAATAATTTCTAAAATGGCAAGAATAATTTCTTCCTTTTTGGCATTTTTTTCAAATATGAAAGAATGTGTACTTAATATAAAATAAATGTTCTAATGGTGTTTGTAAATAGGATATCAAGTCCGCATCTTGTACAGCAATTAACCACTAAGAAGAATGTATGCAATGTGTTAATTGTTGAAACTGTCCTACCGATTTGATTTGAAACTGTCTCATTGCTATTTATCAATAAAACTATGGCAATAAATAAATAAATTAATTAAATTAAATAAAAACATGTATTTGTTAATGAGATTAGAATTTTAGATTTAACTTACAATCAAAGTCTTCAGTTATGATACAAATGCTAGCTGTTTGTGCAGTTGTAAACAAAGATTCACAATGCCACAAAAACATGTATAAGTATACATAAACATCTGTTTGAGCCCAGATGTGTCTGTCTGTGGATGTGATTTCAGTCAATGCTTTATATAATTGCTGATTATTGCTATCAAAATAGCCTCCAAAAGCTACAGAAGAAGCTAAGGGAAAAATAAAAACATAAAGAAAGTGATCACAATTGAAAATAAGAAATTGTGTAGAAATATGAAAGTGACATTGGTGTAACCAATCTCACTAATATTTAATACAGCATGTCAAAACTCACCATCTTAACAATCTTTCACAGGAAAGATATCAGGAAGCTTATGTTGCTGAAAGTGTTACTCAAATTAGTAAGTCATGATCAACAGTGTTACATAAGGTAGAAAGTCTTTAGCTTATTAGTGTGAATAAATTAACACAGGGTATAGCCTAAGTCTATAATTTGTGAAAAAACTAGGGCTATGCAGCTCTCATAAGAGATAAATCAATATGAAATACGGTGAAGCATTTCATGCCAGTAAGAGGCAGGTTCACAATTTTAAAGCAAGGACTGGGGTACACAGTGTAACTAGGCATGATAAAGGAGCCAGTGATGATAAAAGGGCTGCTGATAATTACATACACCACTTCAAAAGGATGATGGAGAAATATGGCTTTTGCGCTCATCAAGTTTTCAACTGTGATGAAACTTGCCTTTTCCAGAGGAAAATAGCCAAGAGAACACCTATTACCCAGGAAGAGAAGAAAATGCCAGGCCACAATCCTATAGACTAACACTGCTATGTGCCAACATAAGTGGTGACCTCAAGATAAAGGCTCTCTCAGGTTATCACGCTAAGACTCCTAAAGTGTTCAGAAATCATAAAGTCATAAAGAACAGGCTAGGGGTCCCATCGAGATCTAACACAAAAGCCTGGGTAACAAGAGTACTTTTTCTTGAGTAGATCAGGGAGGCTTTCTGTCCGACCAGTAACAAGTATCTAGGGGGTTGGGGAGATAGTTCAGTCGAATAAGCGCTTGCCTGGCAAGCACAAGGGCCTGAGTTCAACTCCCGGTCCCACAAAAAAAAATAAAATAAAATAAAAAATCTATCTATCTATCTATCTATCTATCTATCTATCTATCTAGAGGACCAAAGCTTATCACTCAAGGCTCTCATCAAGGACAATGCTCCTGTTCACTCACAAGATTTGTTAGATGTAGGGCCGGGGAGATGGCTCAGTGGAATAAGCACTTCCATGGCAAGCGCAAGGGCCTGAATTCAATCCCTGGTTCCACCAAGAAAAAAAAAAAAAAAAAGATTTGTTAGGTGAAGTGGATGAAGAATTCCAGTGGCTTTCATTCCAATTCCTCCTACCTAATCCAACTCCTCTACTGAAGCCTATGGACCAGCAGGTTATTTATGGGTTTTCTTTTTTAATTTATTTATTTTGGGGTACTGCGGATTGAACTCAAGACCCTGTGCTTGGGCTGGTGAGATGGCGCAGTGGTCTAAAGTACCTACTTAGAACAAGCTTAGCAAAGCACAGGGACCGCGGTTCAATCCCCCAGCACCACATGCCAGCCAGCCCTGCCCCCTGGTGGGCTGAGCTGGCCACACACACACACACACACACACACACACA